AATTTTGAAAAAATTTGTATTTGAAAACTTTGTTTTATGTATGACATTCGAGATATTGACAGTTCCGTAAATTTCTTTATTTACCTGTCACTAGTCTGTCTGGCATTGTAATACAACCTTTTTTATTTAGATTTGAAACGTCCTTTAAATTTTTCCATAAAATGCCGGGTCTTTGTTATTTTTAATAGCATTGTTAAAGAAATCTCTTTTACTTTTTTAATCATTGATGTTATTTTATTTCTTGAGCAATTTGTATTGTTCATGTTTCCCTACTTTATGATAGTAATCGCGTTCATGTATAAGATATTTTATCTCATCAGTAAACCATTCCGGCGGTGTTCACGTTTGATACGCTTTTCTTTTTATTGTGAATTTATTGCCACAAAAGAAGCAATATGTAAACACTGTATTATTTTGACTTCCATACAATGTACCAACTCACTGTAACTAGGCAGGACTAATTGCCAAAAGCCTACAGAAGAAAACGTTAAAAAGGTCTGGTAATGGTCAATGTGTATCTTTTTGGAAACTATAAATTAAAGCACACCAGAAATAAAACTTGTTATAAATAGAAATAAAGTCTTTTTTCTGGGCATAATGGGCCTTCCAACTGCGAGGAGAGCAAATGTCGGGCCTTTGACGCCAGCGTATGTAATCTATATGATTCAGGCGAGCATACACATTCATGCTGTCTGACCTGGCTATATACTTTCACGTTAACTTAATTAAAATCAATTCATCTTGATATCCCTATGATTGATAATTAACTGATTCAAAAAAAGAACACTTGGCATGTCCTTTTAAAGGTAAATTAAGCTTCAAAAAAATTTCTTTCTGTAGAAAGGACAAATATGAATCTTATATGCTTACTTATTGCAACAATTTATTCAAAACATGTGCGATGATGATAACTTTAATTACATATTACTGAATGTGATATAATTTGCGATTAAGGGAGCAAGATGGTTAAAACAAAGTAGTATTTTGACTTTCGTACAACATACTAAATCACTGTTAATGTAATTACTTCATAACACGCAAAAAAAAACGACTAAAAAAACGTTCAGGTATATGGCCAAAATAAGTGACTTTTTTTAATCCAAAAATAAAAGGCTTTGAATAATACAAATATGAGCATTTTTAGGGTTAAATTGGCCTTTAAAAAGTTCAAAACTTCAAAAAGTTAAAGGGTTATAAAAGAAATCCGGAATAGGTTGTAAACTTATTCATAATGCAACAAATTTTTGCAGATAATACTTGGGAGGAATAGAAAATATTAAGAGGATATTTTTTAGTTAGAGTGAAATATGGAATAAATTTTCACGAAAACATGATAAAATGCCCACATATTTTCACGAGCCGAAATTTCACGAAAAACGAAAAAAAACCTTTTTATTTTATTTAATTATCAAAGAAAAATGGTTACGAAACCCATTGCTTGCCACGCAACTGCATTTGTACAGCGAGCAGTAATATATTTATTGCGTCTTGGTTTGCACGCGATATTTGGCGCTACATTGTGACGTCACGTAAAACAACTCTTTAAACGTCATTACAGCGTTAATAACTGTATAAAAGATATTGCGTTCATTGAACGCCGCCTTTCCTTGTTGATCTTGTTCATGCCTAGGTCACAATAAAACGGGCGCAGTCCGATTAAACGATTTTTTTATAAAATCGGCAGATTTTTTGATTGTCGTGGACGCCGGGCGATTTTAAATTTGATACCTTGCGTGGTCACGAATGAAACAGTCGCTGAGTGGATTTTACAGAAAGAATTGAACGGATCAGGCGGTCGCCGCCGATGTCCATACGTCGCCTGTGCGATTTAAAAAGTGAATCGGACGGTTGCCGCGCGGGTGTCGGGCGACAATGACTTTACATTTAATGACATCCTAGATAAATCAGCCTGTTGTAAATTATGCCAGCAAAGAAGTCAGCTGCCAAACCCAAGGGGAAGGGCCAAGGAGTTGGTCCGTGTTGTTTGACAACGAGTCACCAACGACCAGTTATCGAGGCCGTAGAAGGCGAAAATCAATCAGACATTCGCATGGACATTGAAGAAAAAATTTATGTTTACTAGTATTCAAAAGAAATTCACAAAGATATTTTTGAGGGGCAATTTACAACTTCTTCAAGCTGAAATTACAAAAAACACAAGCAGCCCGGTCGCCGGATGACAAACGATGACCCGCCCGGTGCCCTGTACATGAATCGTCCGGGTACCGGGCGATAATCGTTTGACTACTTAGCTCTATTCAGGCACCGGGCGGGGCCCGGCGCCGATGTCCGCCCGGACGCCTTTAAAAATCGGACGCTGTTTTATGTAGAACAAAAATCACCCGATGTCCGCTCGATGATAGTTATTACTCAGTGACCCCAAAAATTATCGTCCGGCCGCCGTAAGCTTTTAGAGCATTACTTAAAACTCGAAGGGCGCCCGCCGATGAGCAAAATTTCAGCTGCTGCCGTCCGATAGTCACTGCCGCGGACGGACGCCGGCCGATATTGCGTTTTTTTGGAGAAACAGACGCCGCCGGGCGGCATTTCTTATTTGTGACCTAGGCTTTACCATATTGATGTTTGATTTATTTCTTAGTTAGACCATTTTCTATCATTCTAGATAGTTTTCAAAAAATAATTCAACAAAAGTTGTTTTGTATTTATCAGATTTTTTCAACAAAAAGCGAAATAAGTCCTTTAAAAATAAATGTGAGTTTTGACTCCGTTCACTTTTCATATTTATACTTCATATTTATTTAAAAAAAAATATGAAATATATTTGACTATATAGCACCACATTTCTTGGGGGTAAAATTAAATAAAATAGATGATATTAAAGTTTCTTCTATAAATACTGATTTATTTTCATCGAGAGGAATTGAAAATTAAATATTAAAAGGTCGGCAGTAGCCCTATGAGTGAAGTATGATAATTTTTCGTTACCACACACCATGAAAATAATCTTGTATTTATTAGAAAAAACTTGAATGTTCTGCTTTATTTTATTTTTTCCTTTTTAACTTTATAAATAAGAAAGAATCCCCTTTTAATTTTGTTTATTAGCTTATTTAGCAAGAAAGTCAGACCGTGACCAGTGATATCGGACAATATCACGTGAAGTGAAAAATACGGAAAAAAAATACGCATTTTATCTTCATCAATTATTTCTCAATATATCATTTACAAGATATAATCTAAATCTTTATATTATGCAGCTATCAAATAAAAATATCACATAGTCTTTGTTTGTTCAAAAGTAAAGTGTTATAAAAATTTATTGTAAAATCTATAGAAAAACACCGACATCTATCCCTACATAGCACTTGATTAAATAATTGATTTGACCTTTAAGTTGTTACGAAAGTTTAAGAATGGCAAAAGATGCCAAAGCATAAAATTAAATTTCATTTGAATCTACTTTTGCATACAAGAATGTAAGTTACAGTTCAGACTGAAACATTTATCTGAATTATTTTTTTTCTGTGAAAATTTTAAAAAATCCCCCTACCCGCCCCCACCCCCGCTTACAAAAAAGAGAAACAAAAAAAACTATGAACCCAATAGGTAAGTAACATTGTTTCATTTTCAAGATAAACCGTCTTTTTTTAATTCTTACCCCCCACACACACACACAAACACAAAATTTACAATCAATATGCAATTAATTATGTATAAAAAATTATTTATTTCGTATTAAATCTTAAAGGATTATATGATTGGTATGGTATAATTTAAAAGAAATATTTCTTACTTGCAAATTGAAGCGTTAATATCGTCAAAATCACTGCCATCGTGCCATCAAAGTTGGTCGTCATAAACGGAATGATACCCCGCAAAATAAACTAACCGATCAAAACAAATGTTCAATTTATATTATATATAATCAAAATTGTCAATATCACACCATAATGTGATGATACACAAGAGGGAATTAATAAAAAACAATGATCAATATGAAATAATAAAATCGTTCTTCTGAGGTCCAAAAGCCTTTTATCATTTATTTTGATTTTTTATCTAAACAACGATAAAACTTTAACACTTTAAACTGAAAAATACAACAAAAGATTGAAAAAAATACTCAGAATTCAATTGTTATGTCATTTATTTTTGTGATGTTTACATTCATATAATTACATTATTCATAATTCATATTGATCTCCCTTTTTAACGATTTTCAAAATGTGATTAAAGCAAGTATTTTTTCGAACATGCTACTGTTATTTTCAATCATTAAACCAATCTTAGCATTACACCCGTCCCAAAAATCTCGACAGCTTTATTGTCAATGATATAAGGTATGTAATTTACTCCCTTTATTCACGCATGTTTTTGATTGTTAACAGTTATCTACTACATTATTACATAGTGTATTCATATTTGAGTTTTTTATTTTTTCATAAACCATTAGATTTGATTTTAAGGCATAATACCATAACTTTGAATAAGATAAGAGATAGGATCATTTTCATTTTATTTGATTAGGCTTTATAAGATATAGCTGATTGATAGCGATGTTTCTAAAAATTAATAATTATCACCTTTTTACAATTTTCAACATGTGATAAAAGAACGTTTTTTGTTACCACAACGATGTGCCTCAATACCACAAACATGCTATGTATTAATATATAAATGTGGAGTTATTTAGTTTTAAGATGGGTCATAACCCGGGCAAATAATGTTCCGGAGATTTGTTTATAATGTAATTTCTTTCTTAAATTCCAGGAAACCAGAAGATTTTATTATTTCTATTTAAACGTTTTTATACTTATTAGACTGTATAAAAAGTTTTATCCCAAATGCTGAACAAACTCTTTGATCATCTTTTCCTGTACATACATTAACTACCCTTTGCCCCAGTTAAAATTGAATAATGTTTAAAACAGAGCCCAAAACCATAAACATCCAACAACCACAAAATATATTTTGGTTTTTAATTAAAAAAAAAAAAAAAAAAAAAAAAAACAAAAAAAAAAAAATGTCCATCAATTAAACTGTAATAACTACACAAGTGTCTATTTTCCAACAATTGGTGAATGATCTGTAATATAAACAACAAATATGCAAACCAGACAATAGCAAATTTTGTTCAAATTACAAATGAAGCCAAGTTAAAGGCCAAAATAAAAGAACTACAGTTCTCCAAATAAATTCAAAATGTAAGGAATATAAACAACATACTATCACTGGTCTGTTTAATGTTAATTTCTACCTGCTTCGGCTTCTAAAATAATTAATGTGTATTTGCTAGACATACTGACATCGAGTTTATCTTCTTCATCTTGCATACCTAATGATTCAAAGATTTGCTAACATTTAATAAAGTTTTATGTGCAATGTAATTCACAATCGGATATTTTACGAACATAATGATGTATCAATTACAAGTCTTACCAGAGCCATCATGTACTGGCCAGCCTGGATATCCACCTGTAGAGTAAATGCCCCTGAAATAATGTATACATGGACGGGCATAGCTTATACCATTGGCAGGAAACCCGTCAAATATTGAAAACATAGCTGTTTCGTTGTGGCCCTTAATACGACAAGAATCATCTGGGAAGAAAGTTATTTGGCATGGTGAATCCTGTAAAAAGTGATGCTGAATAATTTAGTTCTTTCTTACTTTTTATACTTGTTATGGTAAAACGACAACTATTGATCTACTGAAAGAAAAACATGTAATAACAATTTGTCTAGCCTTTTCGCCATACTCTGAAGAAGTATAACGTTATCGTCGTCATCATCATCATTATCATCAATATTATTATAATTACTCTTCATCATCATCATCTTCATCAACAACAACAACATCATTATCATCATCATCGTCGTCATCATTGTTATCGTCACCCATCATCATCATTATCATCAATATTATTATAATTACTCTTCTTCATCATCATCATCTTCATCAACAACAACAACATTATTATCATCATCATCATTGTTATCGTCGCCATCATCATCATTATCATCAATATTATTATAATTACTCTTCATCATCATCATCTTCATCAACAACAACAACATCATTATCATCATCATCGTCATCATTGTTATCGTCGCCATCATCATCATTATCATCAATATTATTATAATTACTCTTTATTTTCTGTTGTGTGTGTATGGGGAGGGTGGGGTAAGTATGGAAGATTTCATGAGGCTTTCTGGTCTACATTCAGGCATGAATAGATCCGCTAACTTTCCTTAGGTATTCTTCATAGCCATTGAAAGAAGTTACAGCTAACATTTTTCTTTTATTTTTCAGAAAAGATAATGATATATACTTACTTTTATTTCGTGTACCGAAGTGTATAAAAAGCTCAGCACAAACTTCGCCGTTTTGTCTTCCACAATGGACTCATTGGATTATAGTTCGTATACTTCCATCTCTGTACCGCCTCACGTAAATTGCTGGTAGAATAATATACCCTACCTGCGAAAACCATAAATGTATTCTCAATGATCGGGGAAAATACTTGTTAATAGTGTCAGGGTAAAAATCTGATCTGGAAATAGTTTATAGAATAAGTACCATTTTTTTTAAATCATTAACTTCGAAGTAGGACTATAGTAAGTGTAAATTGAACGAAGGTGATGTACATTATATTTTATATTATACGTGATAATAATATGTGATGAAACATCTTTAAAAAAAATGAAGGGTATAGGGGCTAAGCGACTGACTGTTTAAATTTCGACTGATGATTTATTTCCCTACCTTTTTGAGTCAAGTATTTGGTCGTGAGAAGTTTGTATTCTGGGCTAACTGAGGTGCGTGCCGAAATCAACATAACTATGACTATTTTTAAAATTGTTGCGTGCCTCTCAGTTTAAGAAACAATCCACTCAAATTATTTCAGCGACAGTTTCATTATGAATTTTAGCTACCAAAAGCTTTTCTTATTTATGTGACACAAATCTTAGATTTTTCCCCAAGAACTTCAAAACTATGCCCGTCAGAATGGAGGAATAGGTCTGTTCAAGAACGCGCATTACTAGTATTGCCTGGATACTGAATAATTCAGTTTAACTACAGCTTTATTTAACAAGTAAGATACTTTGTAGACCTATAGCCCTTTTTGAATAACGTGTTACAGCTATTCAAATTTGAAGCAATTGTCAAATCAGCTAGCTCTTGTAATATATACCTGAACGTCAATGCTGTCGAATATATCAATCATGTGATGCGTGACGTCAGAAGTTTTACCATTCCACGTCATATTACTGACGACGCCATGACAGATTCCCCAGTGCCAGCTGACTGAATAATGTGTCAGTAGTACCCCATGCTTCTGTTTCCTCGCTTCCGTCACAATAGCTTGAAGATTGTTCAAGTACTTGAGTCTCTCGTTCATATTTCCACATTTTATTGTTGCGTAAGCTTCGTTATTTGTTGCAATGCCGTCAAATCGTTCAATATCTGATGCTGTTAAAGAAAATATAATATCTTATACGTGGATTCAGAGGGCGAGGTTTTCATGACCTAAATATATGGTACAAATCTGAACTATACTATAGAGGCTGCATAAATTTTGATTTCAAAATCTCTCACATGTATTAATAAGGGACACGCAGGATTTCTCCATTTAAAAGGGTTAAAAATTACACACATCCGGTGTGGCGTGAATAAAGTAAGAGCCACCAAGTGTAGATCTACAAGATGCATTTCAAGCATCTGGTGAATCTCACGCTACACACGTATAACTAACATCTCAAAAACAAGTGTAATCCATTATACGAAATTAGCATGGTATGTTTTGATAACTGATATCAATTTATAGAATATAATCGAGAAACTTCTCTTACTTGCGCATACATCGTTGTAATGTACAATATATTTGACTAAATCCTTTTCCGAGACAGCGATGTCACTTACAGCATACAGTCCGTATATCTTGAGATTTGACACCTATCACAATTAAAAAGTGCAATGATTACTAGTACAGGAGGGTCAGTTTACCGAGACATTTAATTAAATTCTTTTTCTTAATGCTTCTTTCTGTATACGATGTTCCGCTCCCTTTTTACCCTAACCCGCGATGCACGATGTTACAATGATGTAAATGCGATGGCACGATGACAAGATGGTAGAGTAAAATGAAAAGTAATTATTTACAATTCAAGACCTTAAGTTTACTTAGATGTTTTGTTAACGTCATATGCCATGCACGCACTCCAGAAATTTAATTTACAACAGGTTGAAATTTAATTTACAACAGGTTGGTTTTTCTTCTTCCCCTTTAAAAATAATACTATGTAAAAAAAAAAGCCCGGACTGTTCTGTCAACCTACACATTGCGATATCTGACCAGGCTGTAATTAGGTAATTTTATTACACAATCCCTAAAACTGGTAATGAACTGTTCCAGAATCAAATCTGGGCAAGTCTATTACACAGCAGGGGAATGGTTCATCTGTATCACTGAGATGTTTGATATTTATTTAGTTTGCTGTGATATTATTTAATAAGCTTCTGGTTGTATGAGATAACTTTACTGCTGCAGATTTTATAAAGATTGTTCAAACTTATGTTGTACTGATCACTGGGGTCGGAACACAAAAGGCTGGGATTTTTCTGGTAACTTGTTATATTTTCACTCATATTTATGACAGAGTTTCTTGAAAAACGTCTGTATGATGGTTCCAGGAACTGTGTAACAGGTATCAGAATATCTCTATGTTATGTGTAAATGGCCTTACCTTGTGCTTATTGATGTTCTGTTTTTGCATTGTTACCTTTTTTGTCCATTTTGTATATTTTTGTTACATATTTTTTTACAATTTTTGTTACTTTTTTTGTTTGGTTTAAATTCTGTTTATTTTGTTTGTGTTTTTTGCAACAACTTATTCAGTACATTGTTGCTTTTTCTGAAAGCATCTTTAGTTGTCATTTATGTGATAATATTTGTACATTTTACAGTCATATTTCATACAATGATACAGTTTGCATTTTTACGTTTTCTAGAAATCTCAACTGTTTTTACTCTTTGTAGTGCTAGCTTGCCACCAAAGACTTGACAATGCACATAGATAAAGATCAGCTGTTCAGATTATAGTGTATTGATGAGGGTTGATCCACATTAACATATGTTTTTGCTGTCATTTGTTTTTAGAGTTGATTTTTAAACACTGATTTTGACTGGCAAGTATCTCCCCACATGATATCTCAATCCACAGTGATATACAAATAAGCATAACTCACTCCCTGAGATAAATTGTCATGGAGAAACTTTATCTTGCTCGAGGATTATACCAGCCACCCCTGGACTATGAATCAGGGGCTCTCCTTTTTAGCTCACCTGTCACAAAGTGACAGGGTGAGCTTTTGTGATCGCTTTTCGTCCGTCGTCCGTCCGTCCGTAAACTTTTGCTTTAAATGACATCTCCTCATAAACCACAGAGCCAATTTCATCCAAACTTCACAGGAATGTTCCTTTGGTGGTCACCTTCAAAATTTTTCAAAGAATTTAATTCCATGCAGAACTCTGGTTGCCATGGCAACCGAAAGAAAAATCTGTAAATATCTTCTTTTAAACAACCCTAAGAGCTAGAGCTTAGATATTTGGCATGAAACATCTTCTAGTGAGTGTCTACCAAGTTTGTTCAAATAAAAGCCCTGGGGTCAAAATTGGCCCCGCCCCAGGGGGTCATTGATTTTCCCTATATGCATATAGTAAAAACTTAAAAAATCTTCTTTTATAGAACCCAAAGAGCTAGAGCTAAGATATTTGGCATGAAACATCTTCTAGTGAGTGTCTACAAAGTTTGTTCAAATAAAGGCCCTGTGGTCAAGGGGGTCATTGATTTTCCCTATATGCATTTAGTAAAAACTTAAAAAATCTTCTTTTAAAGAACCCAAAGAGCTAGAGCTAAGATATTTGGCATGAAACATCTTCTAGTGAGTGTCTACCAAGTTTGTTCAAATAAAAGCCCTAGGGTCAAAATTGGCCCTGCCCCAGGGGGTCATTGATCTTCCCTATATGCATATAGTAAAAACTTAAAAAACCTTCTTTTAAAGAACTCAAAGAGCTAGAGCTAAGATATTTAGCATGAAACATGTTCTAATGGGTGACTACCAAATTTGTTCAAATAAAAGCCCTGGGGTCAAAATTGGCCCCGCCCCAGGGGGTCATTGATTTTCCTTATATGTGTATGGCAAAAACTTAAAAAATCTTCTTTGAAAAAACCCATATAGCTAGAGTTTAGATATTAAGCATGAAACATCTTCTAATCAGTGTCTACAAAGTATGTTCAAATAATAGCCCCGGGGTCAAAATTGGCCCTGCCCCGGGGGTCATTGATTTTTTGTGTATAGCAAAAACTTAAAAATCTTCTTTGAAAAAACCCAAATAGCTAGAGTTAAGATATAAAGCATGAAACATCTTTTAGTAAATATATACAAAGTTTGTTCAAATAAATGCCCGGGGGTCGAAACTGGCCCTGCCCCAGGGGTGTCATTGTTTTTAACTATATGTGTATAGTAAAAACTTTAAAAAATCTTCTTTAAAAAAACCCAATGAGCTAGAACTTAGATATTAAGCATGAAACATTTTCTTAAGGGTGTCTACCAAGTTTGTTCAAATAAACAAATAAATGCCCTTGGGTTAAAATTGGCCCGGGGGGGAGGCTATATACAGGTGAGCGACCTCAGGCCATCATGGCCCTCTTGTTACATTAATGGGCGGTTATGGTAACAAAATAACATGAACAAGAATTATGTCCGTTATATCCCTACAAAATATAAGGTAGGGGAGATGATAAGCCTTTGTCATTAATTAGATATTTCAATTTATTTCAATATATATTGCGCTAAATTTTAACCCCTTGTGTGTAAGCAACAGGAAAAAAGTCTAAATAATATTGGATCATCCCTCATACACACATTATCAATGCATTGCTTCCAATAAATTTGTTTTTATAACTAGACTTCATGATTTGATCTGTAGTGTTTTGTATTGTTTCAGTTTGAGTGGAAAGATATAATAAACAAATGCTGCTTAAGCCAATGGAAGTTTTCATGAAAGTATAATATTATTATTATAGAGTGGCATATTTTTGCTTCTGTGTTATATATATTAAAATCTGGAGAAAGAGTGATCCCTTGGAAGCATTAATCACAACAAATTACATAAAAATTGCAGACTAAGCCTACATCAACTTTTCTTTTTCTTTTTTTTTAATTGTTGAAAATATTTAGATAGAATTGTACTAGTTTAGTAAGATGGGAATCTGAAAGTCAAACAAGGTTCTTTTTAAGTATGAAATTCTTTTCCTGTATCAGAATATAAAGAAAAAGAAGTTTTTAAAGGCCAAATGTTTAATATAATCTCATATCTCACCCTCAAATGTGATAAAATTCATTTTCATCATATATTACTTACATGTGTATCACAAAACATTCTGAGTTTGTCTTAGAACTAGTGTAAAATATATAATTGTTCTTCAAGTTGTGACTTTGTTGCATTCAGCCTTCATTTTTGCTTGGTCATATTTTTACATATTCAAGGATACTTTCATCATAATGCCTACTTTCATGCTTACCATCATACATGTATATTGAAGGTTCCTTCAATAATTTTGTGATCATAGATATTGAAGGTTCCTTCATAATTAATTTGTATCATTTCTTACTGAATGTTCATTTATATTTATGTATATCTCCATAAAATGAATGTTTCTTCTTCATTAATGTAAGTTCTTTGAAAATTGCTTAGATATAATGTATATCTTTATATAGTGAAGGTTTCTTCATTATAATATACATGTACTAGTATATATCTTAAGATATTGACAGTTGTTTCATTATAATTATGTTTTTAGAAATTGAATTACTTAGTAATGATTTATAACTTTATATATTCAATGTTCATTCATTGTAATTTATATAATAAATAAATTGATAACATTATTTGATAAGATTATTTTAGAGCAAAAAGATTGTGTAGCATTTTAATAGAAGAACATTAGAGAGAAAAACACTTGTTGACACATGAAATTATAACTTTTAATCTTTATGACTTTTGACCTCTGAATGACCTTGACCTTTATAGTCAAATTTTTAGAAGTTGTCTATGTCCTGAGGTTACTTGGGATGAAGCATTGTATTTCTTTGTAATTTAAAAAAGTATGTGTAGAATATGGTACTATAATATTATAATACTGCACTTGTACAATATTGCATGTGTACAATATTGTTAATGTGAAAAATCCTAGTGTACAAACGGTCATGTACAATATTGTAGACGTACAAAATTGTACATTTACAATATCATGTTTTACAGTATTGTTATTGTTCAAAATGGTATGTGTACATTATTGTAGATGTACAATATTGTAGGAGTACAATATTGAAAATGTACAATACAATACTGTTTTTTTTTTACTTTTCTTAAGATGATATGTGATAAATAGTACTGGATATATGATATCTATGGCGTATATTATGTAACTACTGCATTACATTATGCTATATGTGTTTTATTATATGTTTTCATTTAATGTGCTATATTTGATTTATTTTATCTCTCGCAGGTATATATGACTTATTATGATGTGCTTATTACCCTATTTAAGCTAGTTGTTTAAGGCAGTAATTAATATTTATTTGTAAATAAATTTGACTTAAAAGCTTACTTTGTTTTTTTTGTTGTAACAAATCTGTTTTTCTTGCCCAGGATAATTCACTATCAAGTTTTGATAGCCTATATCTGATGCCTCCTAAAGGCAGTAAGTTGTTTGGGTTTGTTTCTGGAATCAGCAAGTGCAATGCCCGGAGCTTAAATATTTGTCAAGAAGCATTTTGTAGCAGACATCTACAAATATTTTAAAATTTACGAAGCTTAAATAAAAAAAAATGACAAACCCATTGTGACCTCATTACTGACTCTAATATTGAAAAAAAACACCTTT